CCCCCCCTTTTTTTGTTTTTAACTTGACACTCGTATTGCTTCCTAGGGAAAAACGTTTTGAAAAGTAAATTCTAAATTTGCACACACAATTATTTATGCATGCAAAAGCTTGAATGTGAGCGCACAGTTAAGTTTTGCGACACAAAGAAAAGAGCACGAGCCTGGGAAGAATTCTGAAGTTCCGGCAAGGCTGTGCCCTAACTCGTGGCGTTATTCGGCAGAGAGCTTGACCCCCCCGTATCTCCTGCTTTGTGAAACGACGATGGTATTCCCACCTTGGAAGCATTAGTTTCTTGTGAATACAGAGGAAAGCAAACGTTACGTAACTGCTGCGCACGGCTCCTAGTTGCAGTTCAGTTTTAAGATTTGGCTAATCTCGTGACCGGACGCAGAAGGCTGTTTCGAAAATTAGGGACCCGATCCTGCCAAGGCTTGTCCATGTATTTTCTTCACCGTATGGGTAGCACCCGACGCTGTTGATGCCCAGCACAGTACTGCCGGGAGAGGGAATGCAATGCCGCACCCAGGGACAAGAGGGGCAGCTCATACCCAGTAGTGACTTACCAAATTGCATGCATAAATACTAACGCCACGGAGGATCGGTTTTCGGTGAAAAGTAACTTTCCACACCCAAACAGCGTGAAACAAATTTTGAAATTTTATTTGTAGGTGAGTCCATGTATATACATCAACAAGGTGATTAAGACAGTAAATTTATACATAAAAACTCGATTTAAAAAGCAAACCACCTGAAGAAATATTTCCTTTCTGTTTTTAACAGATGTTATTAGCTTTTGTGTTAAGGGAAGTTTTTTCGTTGAAGTGCGCAGCACAAATTTCCAAGAACCTCAGATCAATCACCGGTTCTGGATCATCCCCAGAACAAAGCACAGTCGATTACTAATGAAATAAAAATTTGAAACAGCTTTAAAAATGTCCTGGAACGCATCACTTCCAGCAGAATCAATAGAGGAAAACAATAAGAGGAATAATAATTCTTATAGCTGGTTTAAAACTCAGAAGGGAGCTATGGGCCTGTAGGTTTCGAAAAAATGCTTGTTAAACTTGTACAAATGTGTTTTTCCCAATTTGTTAACAGAACTATGGCGATGGGACTCACTATGATCACATGGCGAGCAGAGACCTTGGCTCACATGACAATCTCTCTCCTCCTTTTGTCAATTCCAGAATACAAAGTAAGAAACTGCATTTCCTAACTTGATTGTGTTTTTGCAAGCAGAGTAAAAATGAGCGAACCGGCCGTAAAACCCGGAGGGTTTCACTCCCTCGCCCTCGCTGCGGGGGTTGGTGGGTGCCAGCCGATGGGGGCGAAGGTGGGGTTTTGGTGGTGGTTGTCCTTCTGCGCTACCCTGCAGGCCGGGAAGCGCGTCCCGAGCGGGTTTGCCGAGCAAACCAAACGGTCTTCTTGTGAGCGGCACGCGACGCAACCGCGCTATCTGCCGGAAGAGGTAGAGGCACTTTTCGTAAAGCTCAGCCTTTTCTTTTCGGAGGTGTGACCGGTTGGCAGAGGAAAGCAGAGCATGCTCTGAGCAGGGCTTTTCAAGCAGAAAAGGATGGCTGAAAGTACAAACATACGTTCACAAGGGGGAACGGATAAAATAGCGGGTTGGGGGCCCGTGCGGTCCGTCCCGCTCGAGACAAGGGCGGCGTTGCCCGGGGCGCGGGGCAGGCGGGTGCCTTCCACCCCACAGCCCACGGCAGAAAGTTTTAACGCCCCGGACTAATCATTTAGTTTAGCCGCAAATACCGTAACCGCATGAAGAGAGGCTATAATTATTCGTAAGTGACTGATAGCTACTTTCTTTAATTATGGTTGATAAATGAGTTTAGTTAAAGTAAATATATGATGTAAAAATATTAGTAATGCTTATGCTTGGCCAAGATCACACCCTTCTTCTGCAGTTGTCAATGAACTAACCAAATGCTTTGCTTTAAAGGATTGTACGTAAGCCAAAAACAACGTGGAGCTGTAACTGTGATATATCATTCTTCAGCTCTAATATATGCCCCTAAAATATGCCTTGTTTTTGAATATCGGGGAATATTTGTGAGTTGTTTAACATATGGGACAATGTTGGAGCTTGTAGTCATTTTTATGTATTCACGTACAAAACATGGTTACAGCAGTTTTAAAGGGTCTTATATAAGCCAAAAAAAGCACGGCAATTTCAACACTCCCTCCGTAACTCACGCCGTGGGGCTTAGGCAGCGTGCGGAGACGCTCAGCCTTCTGCGAAACCCGCTGCCCTGCCCGCTGCCCCCAGGTTTAACCCTGGATTTGGGCCTTAAAAGTCTCTCTCTCCTCCGTGCCTTTGGGTTACGAACAGTCTCGTTCCTGTCTGTGACTGTTTTTGCCAAACTTAGGGAAAACAGTGGTTTCACTTGGATTTAAAAAAAAAAAAATAGCTGTTACGTTAACATAGCGGCGAAGGCCTGCTGTTGAAGGGTTTGAGCAGGTACTCTGGGCAGCTTGTGACCCCCTCCGCGAGTTTCCCCGAGACCCCGCTGAGCTGCGGGCTGGAGCGTTTTTGTGTTGTTTCTATGTTTTGGAAATTTCCGCTGGGAACCGGGCTCGGGCTGTGGGCGCCGGGGCTCCCGCACGCGGTTCGTCGGTCTGCCCTTGGCCCCGCGGCCAGCCCCGCCGTTGCGCGCTTTGCACCGGCAGAGGCACCACGGTAATTTGCTTTTCCTGCTCTCCCGTCCGTCGGCATCTGATGCAGAGCCTGAGACGGACACGGAGCCGGACTGCCCTCCGACCGGAACCGGCTTGGTACTGGGGTAGCGCTGGTGACTTAAATGAAGTTCGTCCTGATTTAAGGCCGTCTGACAGCAGAGTAAGGACCTTAGCGCGTTGCCTCTGAATTTATAGCTTTTAAACAGCATAATTTTTATGTTGATTAAATATTTCTTATCTGTCTTCCCATTATTATTATTAATGCTTAAATCAGGACCAGGCTGGATAGTTATGTGATGAATATTACCCCGTTTGCGGAAAAGAATTACCAATGACAGCTTATTTGATTTTGTGCGCTTTTCTTTTCCGTGCTGGTTTGAACGAAGTTGTGTACAGTTAACGAAACCCCCGTCAGCTCGGTATTTCATCTCGGGGTCTTCGTTTTCGGGTGCTTTGCTTGCTTCTCTGGAGGGCAGTCAGGGAGCCGAAGAGCAGCCAGGTGCCCTCTCCCCCCGGCACGGCGGGGCAGGGTCCCGTCCTTTGGTCCATGCAGCCTTAGGTTTGGGTAGTTCCATGTCTGTCTTGCCCTGTAGAAACATGTGCATGTTTCTGCACTTTCCTTACTTTGGCCTAATCTAAAGCGTTCGCAGGGTAAGCTAGCATGTAAGGTTAACTTTGCAGACAGCAGCTTTCCGGGCAAGAACAGTTTTGCAATAACTGGGGATAGTTACTAGTGACGCTGTACCTGTGAACCACAAACGGTTGTAGACACGCTGTGCTTGAACGCGGGTTTATACTGCACGTTTTATTTTTCAAACATTTATTTTAAAAATACATTTTTAAGCGGCCAGAGTCTAGTAGGGAGCCTCCGAGCTGGTCTTTCCACGAAGCCGTTCGGCGGTTAGCTGAGAGACCAGCAACGCTGTGCACGTAGCTCTGAGTTTCTGCCTCCTCAAAGTACCGCTTCTGTATAGCGAAACACGGTTTTCCGGAGTCCGGGTGCTCTTCTAGGTATATTTTGTTTTCCTAAGGGTAAGTGAAGAGTACTTATTTGACCCGGAGTTAAAGCTAGGTGGATGGTGACAGTTCAGGGCATGGCGGGCGTTGCAGCCGTTTCTCACGGTCTCCTCCGTTTCCAGGTTCCTTCTTGGTGAACGTTTTTTATCCTACCACTTAGGCTATCTTGCTAGTACATTAAATCATTTGCTAATATATAGTAACTTGTCCCGAACCCCCCTGTAGCTTAATGGAACGTCTCACGGCAAGGATTAGATGGAGGTTTCGGGCGCTGTTGAAGAAAGCTGCTGGCTTATGTGGTGACCTTTGAATCTCATCTGGCTTGGTGGCTGATATTTTGATTTGGTTACTGTGGTCATATTGTGACAGCTGCTGGTTCATTATAATTCAGTTCCTCTCCTCCGTTTGCCTACCAGGAATATTTAGGTTTGTGTTGCTTAGAGGGCTCTAACCATCCTGAATTTACCGCAGCGCGCTGTAGAAGGTGAAGCGCTGTGAATGCCAGCGGCCGCCCGCGCCAAGGGGAGAAGCACCGTCCGCCCGACAGACCGTCACGGCGGAGCGCGCAGGGAAGAACTCGGGGCGGGAGGGAACTTCTCCTGGGATTTACACAACTGATTCACTAAAGTGTGCTGAACGGAGTTAAAATGAGAATAGAAAATATCAGAGGCATTTTTTGTTTTCCTGCATGGACGCTTGGTGTGTTTCTCCCCTTCTCCTGTAGTATTTCTGGTGTTCACAGTATTGGTTTTGTAGACCTTACTGAAAGAGTCCCTAATCTACTGACTGACTGAAAGGCAGGCTAGAAAACTTCTGGTTTTGAGAGTGCTTTGGGACTCTCTAAAAGGACTTGCACTCACTGCACGCGCGTCTCCCAGTTTTTACAGGAGTCGGTCGACGTGAGGACGTAGTATGCAAAGACAAAATCTCGGCTTGCGTTTATTTTCGTTTTCTGTTGCTGAATGCAAAAGGCAGGACAGATGCAATTTAGCGTTAGCATAACAGAGGAATAACTTCTTCCTCCGAAGTGCTTCCCCTCGTACTGCTCTACTCCGAGTCGCTGCTGCGCTGGGCTGGCTTGGGCTTTCAGAAGAGCGCTTGCTCGGCGCGCTTGCGGGAGGGCTGGCCCTCTAAATTCGCCAGAGGCAGGCCAGCTGCCTCACGAATTGCATATTTTTCCTACGGTTTCTTCCCTTTCCCTTTTAAAATCCCGAGCTGGCGGTTTTGCTTGGAGCAGCGCCGTTGGTGAGAAGGTGGCATCTCCTCGCGGCCTCGGAGCGGGGGGGCGCGGGGCAGGGCGAGCGGGGCTGGCCGCTGGCC